AGTTACTGGGACTACAGGAGCCTGCCACAGTGCCTGGCTATTTTTTTTTGTTGCAGTTGTCATTGTTTAGCAGGCTCTGGCCGGGTTCCAACCTGCCAGCCCCAGTGCATGTGGCCGGCGCCATAACTACTGTGTTATGGACACTGAGCCACACTTGTTTAAATTTAAATGATTTTATTTAAAAATGTTTTTATAGACACATAATAAAAATTCAAACAGTAAAATATAAAGTGCCCCCATGAGGATCCTAATTTCAGTGGGTAACCTGGCAAAGGCCTTTTGAAGTCAGGGCCTTGAAGCTGAGACTTTAGGGTGAGTGTCAGCCAGGTGGAGCCAGGTAGGGGCAGCCTCCAGGTGGGAGCAGACCCTGCGCTCAGCCCCCCACAGGCTGCTCACACTTTTCTTTCTCTCTCACCTTAACCCACACAGGGAAGCTGTCAGTCTTGTGGTGTAACTGGACCAAACCTGTGGGCCTGTCTCCAGGTAAAGGATCCTTGCAGTTGTTGGGGTTGTGGAGCTCACTCTGGAATCGGGTTGGGAACGTCTGTCCCTCGTGGGCACTGCCAGAAACCTTGGGCAAGGTTACAGGGCTCCAGAGACAGCAGATTTCTGGTTGGACACTCTGAAAACCATTAAAAACGACAGGAGGAAAAGCAAGCTGGAGAAGGCTCTGGACTGAATGATCCAATCTTTGTAAGCGACAAGATTCTATACTGGCAGGTGTATGAGAGGTGACGTGGGTGTCTTGGCTTTGAGGCACAGCACTGTCACTTGGCAGTCTGTCCCTGAGCCAGGCTGGTCTCCTCCCTAGGCCTTCATTTCTGCACTTCCCCACGCTGGAGCTCTGATGACTGTACCCACCTCCTGGGGCTGGGGAGTAATACACGAGACAGATGCTGTGATGGAGGTAGCATGCTGCGGGCCCTGAGACGGTATCCAGGAGAATCTGGAGATGTTTTGATTACTTTTACTCTTTTTAATAGGTAGTAGATGTGACATAATATGACAGCTTTTTCTAGGTGGTGGAATTACAGGTAATTTTCTTTTTTTATTTTAGTATTTAAAAAATGCTCTATAAATGTGTATTTTTATAGTCATATGAAGAATGACTGTTAAAATTTCTTTTTAAAAAACCCCACAAGTCTTCTCTCCAAACTGGAGGAATGTGGTGGGGGGGGACATAAGTAGAAGCAAAAAAAAGCTAGGAGGTGAAGACATCTAGTCAGTTTTTACAGAAGATTCAGGGGTCCCCTGAATCATGGGACTCCAGCCTCTCCCATTTGGGCCTGTCCCTCAGCATAAAGTAGATCGTAAGATGCTGTCTAGGTACATGGGGGACATCAAGAAGTGTCAGGCAGGGTCCTACCTTGTAAGAGCTCACAGTTCCACAGAGCGACAGACATGGGAGGCTGATGCACAAGATGGCATGTGCTTCCTGACTCAGACAAAAGATCCTTTTTTCAAGAGGCCCTCACCAGCCTGTGCAGTGCTGGCCACAGGTAGAAGTGACACCCAGCGCTCCTGTGGAGAGGCAGGCACAGTCACTATTGGCTGGGATGGAAGCCTGCTTTGGAAAGGCCCTTGAGCTGGGCCTTGGAGGTTGGGTGGATTTGGGACTAGAGAGCACAAGGCCCAAGGCAGGGTTACCAGGCCACATGTACCACTAGGGGGCGTTGAGTCAATGCTACCCCAACCACCTCTGCATTTTGTTTTGAATGTGTGGTGTCCTTTCACTATCCCCACAGTTAGAAGATGGCTGTGAGGCCCAGGGTCCCCCTCCAAAAACGAGGATCCCAATAACCAGCTCATCACGAAGTATGGTTTTGGTGGGACAAAAGAGTCTGGGCCCCAAGCAGCCAGGCCCCAGCTGTGACCCTGCTAGGACTTCTGCAGGAGAGCAGTAGCCCAGGGCATCTCACTCGGAGGGCAGGGGCAACGTTTATGGTAGCCATCACTGCCCAATGTGAGCTTCAGGTATAGAGACCTCTGTTGCTTTGGGGTGAGAGAGCCTCAATACCTTGTGGGTCTTGGCAGGTAGAGTTGGGGGACACTGGCTGAGGATTGGTGTCAGAACTCCATAGAGTGCTGCTCTGATGCTGTGCTCTAGGCCAACGCCAGTCTCTTGTCCTCTCTCCCACAGGCCGCCTGTCCCTATGTTGGCTGCGGAGAGTCCTTTTCTGACCACAGCACTATTCATGCACAGGTGAGTATGGCAGGTGAAGTGTGGGCTCTGCACCAGACTGCTTGGACCCAAACCCTAGCTTTGGCCACCTCCCAGCCCCACCTGCCTGCTCTGGCCTCCATGGCGGGGCTATCAAATGGGGTAATCACAGCAGGGTTGCTGTAAAGAAGCAAGAGAGGATGAAGGTGAAAGCATTTTGCATGTGTACTTTTTTGATAAATGGCAGCCTTTAGTTTTATGAGCAAAATTCTTGTCCTGACAGAGCCTCTTACTCGGGCTGGAGAGCAGAGGCAGCCCTAGTAGGCCAGTGTATCTTTGACCTTATTTTGGTTTTTTCCCTCTAGGCAAAAAACCACAACTTGACAGTAAATCTGACCACATTCCGGGTATGGTGTTATGCCTGCGAGAAGGAGGTGTTCCTGGAGCAGCGTCTGCCAGGGCCCCCACTAGGGGCCTCACCTAAGTTCTCAGAGCAGGTAATAGGTGCAGTGGATCACTTGATTGTTGGCGACACTGTCAAGGACTCGGGTAGCGTGACCAGTGGATTGGTGGAACGTGGGTGGGCGGGTTGGTGTGTGTGCAAGTGACCTTGAGGGGCTCACATCAGCAGATGCTCACTGAGCCTGACTATGAGCCACAGCATGTGAGGCTGTACCATACAGAGATAACTAAGGGTGGCACTTACCTTGAGCACAGTGGCTGTGGGGCAGCCACATGGAAATACAGGCTTGGGGTGGGCTCAGGGCCATGGGCATGTGAAGACCCTTCTAGACACCATGGAGAGGGCTAACAAGGTCACGGCCCCTAGCAGTCCTGGATCTAAATCGTTTCCTAAGGGAATCCTGAGCAGTGACTGCAGCTTCTCTGTGGAAAATGCTGGGAAATGCATTGACCAGTGAGCAGCAGGGTGCTGTGCAGCCCTTAGCAGTGGTAGGTCAGCAAGTGGTAGGTTCCCCCCACTGAAGGGCCCTGCCAGCCTGTCCTTGGGGAACAGTTGGTCAGTCCTACTATCAGAGGGCCTAGAGTGTCCGTGGGAGGCCGGGATAGTGCTCACATGCATTGCTGTCTTCTCCCTATGTGGGCCAGCTGAGAGGTGCTTGACTAGTGCTTACTGAATACATTTGTGAGCTTGGTAGATACTTATAAAATTTATTTTAAAAGGCTATAAAGCAATACATCCAATATCCTGTTTTTATATATGTAGGTGTTAATAGCCAAGCCTACGTATATACATACAGACTGTTGTGAATGAGTCTCTGAGGAAAATGAGGTTATGTGCTTTTTCTGTTATTTTTTCCCAAATTATAAATAAATTATTATTTTCATTATTGCAAATAAAAAATACAAGTCACAGAATTCCCAGGGTGAGGCCACCAATCCCATGGAGTCCTCTGCTCAGAGGGACCAACTCAGCCCAGCATGGGGCTGTGGGGGCATGTGGGCCTCTGACCCAACCCCCCTCCCTCCCTGTTTCTCCTCTGGGTCTTTAACATAGGACTCTCCGCCACCCTCCCATCCTCTGAAAGCTGTTCCTATTGCTGTGGCTGATGAGGGAGAGTCTGAGTCAGAAGATGATGACCTGAAACCTCGAGGTAACAGGAACAGGGGAAGCTGGGGGCCTCTGCTGAGGCTGGAAAGCTCAGGGTCTGTTTCTGCTGGCACCATGCTGATGGAGCAGGGAAGGGCAGCACAGCATGGTGGCTTCCCTCTGAGAACTTTGTTCCCTTCTCAGCCATGTGACCTTGGCAGGTGTCCCCTGTGCCGGAATCTGTCACATACACCCAGTTAACTTTGTTGTGAGCAGGAACCACATTAACTTACTTGGAAGCTCCACCCATGTCTTTCTCAGCTTGGATCCTATGGGGTTGAGAGCTGCAGCCAAGTCACTTGTGAGGTCTTCTCCAGGGCGCTCACCCCCACTCCCTCCATTTTGTTCATTTCCCAGGCCTCACAGGCATGAAAAACCTCGGGAACTCCTGCTACATGAATGCTGCCTTGCAGGCCCTGTCAAACTGGTAGGTTGTCACTCTTCTGTAATCCTTCCACTTTGGAAGGTCAAGGCGGGAAGATCCTTGAGCTCAGGAGTTTGAGACCAGCCTGAGTAAAAGTGAGATCCTGTCTCTACTAAAAATAGAAAATTAGCTGAGTGCTGTGGCAGGTGCCTATAGTCCCAGCTACTTGGGAAGCTGAGGCAGGAAAATCACATGAGTCCAAGAGTCTGAGGTTGCTGTGAGTTATGGTGATGTCATAGCACTTTAGCCTGGGCAACAGAGTAAGACGACTCTGTCTCAAAAAATAAATAAATAATAGAAAAAGTAAAAACATAAAGCTGGGTGCAAGGCATGTGCCTAGTCCCAGCTGCTTGGGAAGGACCTGCTTGAGCCTAGGATATGGTGGCCAGAGTGTACTGTGATTACCCTGTGAATTACCATTGAGGCCCAGCCCAGGCAGCAGAGACCCTGTTAATACAAATTTATTTGTATACAAATAAATACAAACCAGGAAAAGAGGAATGGGAGAGACACCTTCAGCTGGGGAGATGCCTGCTGCAGAATGAGCCAATGAGAGGAGGGGGAAGAGGAGCTAGTTCTTCTCTTGTTCATGCAACAGCTGTCCCTCAGCCTTAAGGGCCCGCCATCAGGAGGCTCACAACGAACCCAGGAGAGAAAGGGGGGTGTGTTCGCCTCCTGGTGCAGCCACAGCAAAGTACCACAGACTGGTGGTTTGAGCAACAAAAATGTATTATCTCTCAGTGCTGCAGGCTGGAAGTCTGATGTCAGGGTGTCGGCTGGGTTGGCTCCTTCCAAGGCCTCTCTCCTGGCTTGTAGATGGCCATCTTTTCCCTGACTCCTCACATGGTCTTTCCTCTGTGTTTCGTGCGTCTGGTGTCACTTCTTTGTGTCCAAGTGTCCTCTTAGAAGGGCGCCTATAGCACAGTGGTTACAGTGCCAACCACATACACTGAAGGTGGCAGGTTTGAACCCGGCCTGGGCCAGCCACCCAACAATGATAACTGCAACAAAAAGTAGTTGGGCATCAGGGCAGGTGCCTAAAGTCCCAGCTACTTGAGAGGCTGAGGCAAGAGAATCGCTTGAGCCCAAGAGTTTGAGGTTGCTGTGAGCTGTGATGATGCCAC